TTGGGCGCCAGGCCATGCCCCATCCTCATGCATCTGCACCGGCCATCAGGCGTGTACTGTTAGAAAACAGGGGTAAGCCAGTTGGAGGCTGAATTGACGTCATTTTGAGAAAACATGGCAGCCATGTGAATGGAAGTTTTGAAGTTTCTGATGCAGGAAATGATACGCAAGAGACAAGGGGGAAGAGAGAAAAATGAGGGGACAAGTTTAAGCAATCATGATGGGTTGAATTGGTAATATTTACACAATAGGTAATATTTCCCTGACTACCTTACCTATGGCTGAGTTTGGTGATGCCATGATGGGATGTTGATGCAGACGCAGACGCAGGTGCAGGTGCAGATACAGGCCAGACTTGGCAGGGTCAGTTTGATATGGACTCAGCTGTCGCTATCGTCACCCAATGTTAAAAACCAAGAAAACCTCGTTATATATCACATCGTGCATAATATACCGCCAAACCTGTAATATTCTCTCAGCAACTCCTGACTGCATAGGTCAACAACAATCACTCTCTTGCCCGAGCTGCACTTAGATAACCATCTACAGACAAGAGTCATGCATTGCGAGAACACGACTTCAAATTTCATAAGGGACCCTGATTTGCAAGGATTAGGAATCGATTTGGAAGGGCTCAAAGTATCATGTCATACATCAAATTTTCAACTTTTCCATAAAAAAACTCCATGTCCTGGTAGTAGGCAGGTATGTGACCATGTAAGCGCATAACCTTGATATGGATCCACTACGACAGAGAGATCTCGATCCTATTACGTGTCGCAAGGGTCTGAATAAGGTGAATCACTAAATCAGAGGACACAGATACAAACTAAATAGACGGTGACAAGGGACAGCTCCTTGCTCTGCCTATGGAAGGAAGGTAGAGGCATCTTGATCAAGCCACTCAACTCCCTTAGTTTGGTAAGTACCTACCTTTCCAGGGTACTACTCCCCGGAGCTCTTGTCCCCCTCACCCACCCCCACCAAGCAAACCAACCGGCGGTCCTCCGTCCACATAATCCAATACCAACACCTCACTCTCCTCACCTCAACCGACCCAATGTCTTCTACGACCATGTATATATGTACATGTACCCTCCATCCCAGATGCTAACGTCTTGTTGAAATTTCGTTTTCCCCTCCTCCTTTCGACTCTCTTCCTCTCAACTCTTCTCATTTTACCCTACAACTGTTGTCTCCTCCAGCCCGTCACCTTACACAGCCTGCGACACGTCTGATATCCTCTGCAGTGATCGACATTTGGCCGGCCCAGGAGGAAACCATCCGGATTCGAAACGAGTCTCCGTAACCGACGACGCCTGAAGCTGCAAAGAATAGGTAAGCCTTTTGTCGAGCAAATAGCCAATACCCCAGACTTCCTCCCAGCGTTTGGATCCTACTTCCTTGTTGGCACCAAGCAATGGCCCTGTTTCGTTCGGCCTCTGAAGTACTCGGGGCAAACGGCCGGACCATTGGGGCACGATGGCGTCGAAGGCACCTCACTATGGGGCTCGACGAATTTGGACCCCACTGCTGCAGTCTTGGAGCGGACTGGAGGGACAAGACCCGGAGACTGCCTCTAGGCGGTGTCAGAGCCTGTACTATCCCCCCTGAACAATCTCAGTGTCACTCAGTGGCCAGTCTGCCCCTCACCCAGGTACCTTGTCACAGGCCTGAGTAGGTACCTACACAGGACAGCCCAGCATACGGAGCGTTTCCAACCTAATTCAGCAGCTCTCGTAGTGTCTCTTTCTGTGCCCTTATGAATCTACCGAACACCGGCTCTTTTAGGTGGCAATCCATCTTCACTCATTAACTGACTGATCTTCTGGCCATTTTTATGGACTGTTGCTGACCTTGCAATCATTGATAGATAGACACGTTGCTCTTGCCTACGCATTTCTTTACCTACCCCGCCATCCCGCACCTGCCAACGGGCATTGAATACCATCAAAGGAAAAGACGGCCCAAGACAAAACAACGACGATCAGTCGACCACTGTGTTACAAAGCCATTGAGTGATCTAGGAATCAGTCAACCAAACACGCTCATTGTGGTCCTATCCAGTGGGATCTCACGCGCCTCTTCCCGCCCCCGCTTGATACGCTGTGCTCATCGACATCGAAACCTGCATCGCTTTTTTTTTACTGTACCCCGGTCGGTCATCGTCTTTTGCTCGATCGTCGATTTACCATTCACCTGACCCATTATCGGTCCATCCCATTTCCATTTCCAGCCGCCCATCCAATCCAATAACTAGATTATCTCTCTGTTCTTCACTTTATCTCGCACCGCACAGCACGCCAGGTTCAACATAGCCTTGACTATACGATCCTAGACGATTACGTCTGCGCCCCGCCCACCATCATCTTTACCTCATCTTGGTGTTCCTCGTTTTACAGCTAGGAAACTGTCTACTTTTTCTCTTCACCCTCAAACCTCTCGTCCAAAAAAATCACATATTCATCATGGCCGAGTTCGTACGCGCCCAGATCTTTGGCACCACATTCGAGATCACCTCGAGGTAAGCTCACCATGCCTTTGAAGCCAACAATTCGCCGTTCGTCGCATTACTGACTCGATTTGCGCGCAGATACTCTGATCTCCAGCCTGTTGGCATGGGAGCTTTTGGCCTTGTTTGGTACGTTCGCTTGGGTGTCCCAACTATTCCTGCGCCCTCTGACTGACACGCTTCCCTTGCAACAGCTCTGCCCGGGATCAACTTACCAATCAAAATGTCGCCGTCAAGAAGATCATGAAGCCTTTCAGCACACCTGTGCTCGCAAAGCGCACATACCGTGAGCTCAAGCTGCTCAAGCACCTTAAGCACGAAAACGTGAGCATCAGCCCCTCCACAGTTCGACCCCCGCATATCTTCGCCTTCAACGCGTCTTTTTTTTGCTTGACCTGTCCTCACTTAATGTATGAGCAATTGTAGGACTTTCGATGCTAATGCAGCTCTGCTATCAGGTCATTTCTCTGAGCGACATCTTTATTTCTCCTTTGGAAGATATGTGCGTTCCAGCCGCGGCCGGCGTTACCCCTCCCCCGCCTCGTTTCCCCATGTTCTTTCGCTGACAGCTCCGTAGCTATTTTGTCACAGAGCTCCTCGGTACCGATCTTCACCGATTATTGACGTCGCGCCCTCTTGAGAAGCAGTTCATCCAGTACTTCCTCTACCAGATTATGGTATGTACCAATGACGTCTAGACAAAGACGGTTGTTGCAGATCATTTGCTGACATTAGTTGCCCTGCAGCGAGGTCTCAAGTACGTGCATTCGGCCGGCGTCGTCCACCGCGATCTCAAACCCAGCAATATTCTCGTAAACGAAAACTGTGATCTCAAGATTTGCGACTTTGGTCTTGCACGAATCCAGGATCCTCAGATGACTGGTTATGTCTCCACACGGTACTACCGAGCCCCCGAAATTATGCTCACCTGGCAAAAATACGATGTCGAGGTTGATATCTGGAGTGCCGGTTGCATCTTTGCTGAGATGCTTGAGGGCAAACCTCTGTTTCCCGGAAAGGATCACGTCAACCAATTCTCTATCATCACTGAGCTGCTTGGTACCCCGCCTGATGATGTTATTAACACCATCGCCAGCGAGAACGTGAGTTATACTGCTTTGCATTCTATCTATAATTCTAACAACTACCAGACATTGCGGTTCGTGAAGTCGCTGCCTAAACGTGAACGACAGCCTCTCCGTAACAAATTCAAGAATGCCGACGACTCAGGTATGATATAACCTTCCCCAATGGACCCTGAGAATTCACCAGCTGACAGAATCATTAGCTATTGATCTGCTGGAGCGCATGCTTGTCTTCGACCCTAAGAAGCGAATAACTGCCACAGAAGCACTCTCCCATGACTATCTCTCCCCCTACCACGACCCCACAGACGAGCCCGTGGCGGAGGAGAAGTTTGACTGGAGCTTCAACGACGCCGATCTGCCCGTTGATACATGGAAGATCATGATGTTAGTGTGATGAAAGGCTGCATGCATCGAATATACTAATACAGAACAGGTACTCGGAAATTCTCGACTACCACAACGTTGAAGCCGGAGTTACCAACATGGAGGAGCAGTTCAACGGACAATAAATGGGGGATGTGGTTAATAACGGAGGAAGATGCTACCAGTGCATAACGAACTTGAGGAAGAAGCAGACCACGTCACAGTGTCGATGATACCACGAAATTCAACGCATACGCCCATGATCCATTCATCTTACCACAATCACACTATCCCGTGCCCGTATAAAAAAGAAGATGCAGGAAGACGCGACAAGACGTGAAAGGAGACGAACCGACGATATATCCGTCGCAAGAAACAGGCATGTACATGCAAAATATACGAACGCACGTATGGCGTTGGGGAGACAGGGAAAGACTTTGCTTTGGTTTTGATTTTGGAATTAAAGAACAAGTTCCTTTATGAGGAAGATGTTCGATCGATCGTCTTTAGCAACGGGAGCTTCGTTTTATTTTCCCCTTTTTATTACTGTCTGGCTCTCGCTTTTCCCACCACACCTGCTTTTTCTATTCTCGTATCTGTTCAAGCAAGGATGCAGCGGGGCATGAAAATACACGACACAAAAGGCTTTTAGGTTACAAATGATTCTTCTGCTTATTTAGCTGGCTCCCAGTTGTCTGAGGAAATTATAGAGCTTGTGAATGGAATCTTTATTAAAGAAGTCTGCCTTAATATCGTCAACATATGTATACTCGGATAAGCTATGAAGAAGACGTATGTATGCCCCAGATGGACGTAAACCATTACTCACTTCTGGACTCATTCATTATATTTTAAATGGGAGATATATTTTCTAGGCACGGCATAGATGTCTGAGCATACCATGCCGCTATTCAAAAAATGCAATACTTCTCACCTTTATACGCGGCAACCTTCCCACGTATTTGTGCTCCCTGCGATGCTCTGACATATACATCTTGAGTATCCAATCATACCTAGCCTAAAGAAATGCTTCTTCGTTAAATGCCCTGTTGGAAAGTCCCTGTTTCTAGTAAAGTCTGTAGGTCCTCCATTTCACCGCTATGGTAGACCATGTCGTAGAACTGGCCTCTACTGTTGTACAAATCGCGAGGTGAGCCATATCTGGAGAGGATTGTCAGTTGTCAATTTGAAAGGGACCAGAATCAATAAGATCTTACTCAAGAACACGCCCCGCACCCATGACCACGACTGTATCATAATCGATGATTGTACGTAAACGATGCGCGATTGTTACCAAAGTCCGCCCTCCTCCGGCCGCTTCAAGTTCCCGCCGCAGGACGTTTTGAATACCTCGGTCTGTATCATAGTCCATGCTTGCCGTGGCTTCGTCAAGCAGCATCAGCTTGCTTTGGCGAATCAGCGCACGACAGAGTGAAAGAACTTGCCGTTGACCATGAGAGAAGTTCTCACCGCGAGCGTCGACACATGTGGTAAGATTCACACTATTGTGCTCGTAATCGGGCGAATCATTATCGCTATCATCAGAAGTATGAGGGGAGAAGGATGCGATGCCTTTGCAGTTGTCAAGGGCCTTATCGAGAATGTCTTTGGGAACTCGACCGCCAGGATCAAGATTGGACTCGACTGTCCCATTAAACAGGACAGCCTCTTGTGGTATGATTGTAAGGCTTTCTCGGAGGCGGTGTCGAGGAATTTTGGTAATGTCAATTCCGTCGTATAGAATTTCACCAGAGACAACATGTGTGAAGCGAAGGAGCGAAAGCACCAGCTAGGAATCGCAGTCGTTAGTGAAACTCTACAGGTGCTAGAGGTAAAGAGCGTAGTATACTAACAGTGCTTTTCCCTGAACCCGTCCTTCCTATGACAGCCACGCGTTCACCCGCTTTGAACTTGAGGTTCACACTGGTGAGAATGTCGGGTCCATCAGGATCGTACCGGATTGTAACGTTTCGAAACTCGATCTCGCCAGATCGAGGCCAGTTCTCGGGAATTACGTGAGAGGGATCATCTGTATATTCGCCTTCCTCGGGATAGGTTGTGTCATCCTTTTCCTCAGGTTCCAACTTGACATATTCCTTAACTCGGTGAAACTTGGTGCTTGGTCAGTAGGCACTTTGGCAGATGATGACAAACACACTCACGCTCTGCATTTCAACTTCCAAATCATTCATCGCTCGAACGAGTAACAGGATCGTCTGGCTGAGCCCATTGGCATTGGTGAGGGAGAAACCGACCAGCCCTGCAGCCACGACACCGGTCTGTGATACGGCAATGATGCCCGCCGACAGACTGACGAGGGCTGTCACAAGATCCACGCGTACAGCAACCCAACGGTTAGCGTTGAAGCTGGCTTCGGCTGAAGCTGACCATGTACGCAATCTAGCAGCCAACTCTTGCCGAAATGTTGACGACATACCACTCCTGGCACGAATAACAGGAAGACCTGCCAATGTATCTGCAAACTGGGAGAACACAGGCGACTGAGCAGAAGACGTTAGCCGCTTGATTACAACTGCCGTTCTAGTATATGCTTCTCCAATGAGAACACCAAACAAGCATGTGAACAGTGCTGGTATCATAAAAACCGGCATTATGCTGCTGACAGCTCCAATGCGAAAGAGCATGAGAAGGACCGTATCAAGCATGATTCGTAGCATGGTACTGATGGTACCATCGATTGAGGCCATGTCACTGGAGAAGCGGTTTGTGATGCGGCCAATGGGGATATGCTTGAACCATGAAAGCGAGACGTGCATGATGGCATGTATGAAATCATTGTGTAATCTCTTTGCAGCGTTCCAAGCTCCCCATTCAAACATTATGATGGCCAAACAGTAGCTACCAATTTCAAGGAACGTAAGGCCTGCAAAGATCCCCATATAATAAGGAATATCGATGTGAGCCTGGTGATTGTATGCTTCTACCCAGACAGAGAGCCACAAAAGACTGCTAAAGGTAAAGATGTTCGTGGCAAGCAAAAGTCCCAGGCAGACGGCAACAAAGGCCGGATGTCCGAAGTAGCTCATGTATTGCAAAACTAGCGACAAAGTTAGCATCTCATCACGATTGGAAAAAGAGTACTGACAAGTCATGCGGCCGACCTTTCCAGAAGCCTTCATTTCTTGGTTGACCACATCCTTCAGGTGTTTTTCTTCAGAGGTTCGGTTAGCATCGTTCAAAGTATCACCGTTAGATTGTATCTCCTGAACTGTATCATATAGTGCGTCATCGTCCTCAGCATCTCCTCCGAGGACTTGAGCGATAGCGATTGGTTTACGAACAATACCAATTTGGGGCTCTGCTGACTCGATTTGACCCTTCCCCAATACAACAGAGAGATCTGCTTGCTCTGCAATCCAGGGAAGATTTGCCACAAGTACAGTTGTCCTGCCACTCAGAAGGTCAGAGCAGAAGCAGTGTTTCCAAACTCCAGCAGCTGTTTTGGCGTCAAGAGCAGCAAAGATATCATCGAGTAACAGAAGTGGTGCTTTGGAGTACAATGCCCTTGCAAGGGCAACTCGTGCTTTTTGACCACCTGAAAGAGAAGTTCCGTTCTCGCCCACGATGGTCATGTCCTTAGCCGGTAGATCCTTAAAATCCTGCCATAGGCAACATGCTTCGATGACACGATCGTAGCGCAGCTTCTCCATTGGACTACCAAATAGAACGTTGGCCTGTATAGTCTCGTTCTGTAACCATGCAGATTGAGAAGCGTACGCTATGTCATCTGGTCTGGTCACAGTTCCACTCTCCAGATAGGTCTCACCAAGAATAGACAGCAACAGCGTTGTTTTGCCGCTGCCACTTGGGCCGCTAATGACGTTAAGACCCCCTTGGGCAAAACCAAGTGTTATATTGTTCAGAGTGAAACTGGCTGTCTTCGTCTTCCGGAACGAGGCATGATCAATGTGAAGGGGTCCAACAGGGTAATGAGGAATAGGAACTGTACTCTCAAAGTACTTGTCGAGTCGGGTCACCGACACCAGCGCGCTCGCGAAATTCCTACCAAAGGCACTAGCCTGCATGATATTTCTGCGAACATTCTTGACAAGAAATATGGTTGTGAAAGCCGTAGCGGCATCCAGTCGACGCTTGGAGAGTCCAACGTGCAAACCAAACATGACAAGTAAGGATAAGTAAGGAACAATCTGCATAACTTGGTTCAATGAAGCTTGAATCATAGAGGTCCTCCAAAGCTCCCTTTGTTCTGCAGAACGCGCATCGATGATTTTTTCAGTGATAGGGTCCTCCCAGGCGAAGTACTTGATGGCGCGAAGGGATGCAAGATACTCCGTCACTAAGGACATGCGGGAATCCTGGGCTTTCCTGACTCGGCGCTGTGAGTAGAACATCAAGCGCCCAAGCCATATCGAAAGAGGCGTGGCCAAAAATAGAATCGCATTTCCTACCAGAGATGCCCAGCCCATCATTCTGTACATTCCAATGAGCGATATTATGGTTCCGACGGGGGTGCCAATGGTGGCCTGAATGATGTCTCTTGATCTATAGATGGCGTCTATATCGGAAGCCATGAGGTTAGCCAAACGTCCTGCTGATGTGGTCTTGGCAGTGGTCTGGCCGCTCCTGCTCTTGGGTTTCGCGCCACCGGACTGTAGTTCAAAAGGGTCCTCTTCCATCTCCATCGAGTCTAGGGCAGTGCAGTACAGCTCTTGAGTGAATGCAGATTTGATACGAACCACGAGTCTGGTAGATGTAAAGATGTACTGCTGGAAGGCAACGGAGCGGAATAGTGGGCCGATGAACATAAGGAATAACCAAAGCCATGGTTTATAGATGGCACCGCTAGGGTTAGCAAGATATTCGAGTAATTTGAACATGGCGAATGCAGCTATATTCTCCACCGTGTATGAGGTGGCAACCCAAAACGACATGAGAAGCAACTCGCGTTTCTGGAATCTAAGAACAGTACGGAGTGTTTTTTTCGAGATTGAACGAGCTTCTTGTACACGACGTAAGAGGTATATAGGTTCGTCATACCAAGCTAACTTTGGAATATCAGCCATACCAAGTTGCCGCTTCACACCCTTCCAGATGATTGGGGTCAGCCAGTCATAGGTACAGTAGTAAGTGAACCAACTGCAAGCCTCCTCGGGAGCCGGCTCATTCTGGTCGTAACCAGGGATGTTGAGGTCAACTTGCATTGGAGTCCATTCTCTAGGGGTAATGAATGCAGTGACAGATGCTGCTGCAAGAGCGATTATCCCACCAGAAGTGCTGGCGTCGTGAAGGCATTTTGTGCCAGTCTGGATACAGGGCAACGTGTGCCCTGCAATGAGAATGGTCAGAGTAGCTGGAAGCACAAAGTTGATTTGATGCAGTGCTACATGACGCCACTCAAGATGGTTGAAGAGGCGAGCGAGACCGACAGCGAAGGTATATGCAACAGATACAATGTTGATACAATGTAGTCGATCTTGGACATAAGCAAATGTAATATATACAACAGCAGCAAGTCTTGCGATTTGTGAGGCAAGCTCATACGGCCACCGTATTTTGGCAGCTTTGAATCGGCAACTAGACTCCTGCCGACGAATTCGATCTAAGTGGTAGATGAGTTGCATAAGTGACAGGAAAAGCACAATGGCCTGTGGTATCCCAGATTGGGCGAACTGTGACACATGATGAATCCACGGAATTTGGGACAAGGACATGGCATTCTGATATAGGCTAGAAATTTTAGCAAACTCAATTTATAATATTGAGAGAGTTCTTACCTAGTCAAAGAAGAAGATTGCGGTATCATGACAGATCCGTTCCCTTCATAAGGAGAGAACTCTAACCCGCCAAAGCGGTGAATTACGACATCCATCATGCTGATGTAGACATGAAGAATTCCATAAAGGAACAGCAGAGCAGAGCAGAGCAGAGCAGAGCAGAGCAGAGCAGAGCAGAGCAGAGCAGAGCAGAGCAGAGCAGAGCAGAAGCAGAAAACAAGGATTGGGTTTAAGTAAACACTGACCCTCGACTCATCATCACGAATATACAAACAAAGGACGATGTTAGTGAAAGAATCAAGAAGTCACTAGCAAGCACGTTATCAATCGAAGTCGGAAGTCATGAACAGTGAATGGCTGAGGGGAGTGGGCTCTGGACAAGTGGAGCACCCCATCAAGGCGTGGACTCCCGAATATCGGCATCGGGGGCGGAATCAGAGATGCAGGCACAACTGGAAGAACTGGACGTTAGCTGCTTTAGCGGGTGAACCTCCGACGTTTTCAGTGGGCAACGGACCTGAACGCCGTCCTCGCCAGCCGCCTGGCCCGTGGGGGAGTTAACGCCTTTAGCTGAATGCAGGGGCACCCATGAAGCAACGATAGTTATTGGGGAAGACGGACAGGCATTCAAATGGCCATCAAAGCCTAACTTTGACCGCCTCATTATGCTGTTGACCGGTTTCGGTTATCTTGCCCCCTCTGTTTTCTCATTGTCACGGTGAAGAGGTGAAGGAGAGGTGTGGTGGTGTGCTGCGGTCGTACTGGATGTTGTGAATGTTATGGCCGGGTCATCTCCAGTCCGCTTCGATTGTGACAAAGAGTAGATGCTTAACGTGATGCTACTATGAAACAATGATAGCCTGAAACCTATTTCGATTGCTTGATAAATTGAATCACGGTTGTGCAACGCGAAGATACTTGGTCTAAGTCTCTATATTAGATCTTGAACAAGGTGGGTGCTGGTGTCAGCGTAGGCGTGCTTTTGATGCAGCGATAACGGCATACACAAGTTTAGTTGGAGTTGACAAACATGATGAAGTACAAAGGCAATTTGATCGCCATATGGGCTAATTGTTAAAAAGAACGACCCTGCTTTATCCTTATGCTACTAGATGTGAGCTGCCAGTAGCTTAGTAAAGGACCACATTGATAGCAACATGGATACGGCCACGCTCACTGTCAACAGTAGCTATAAGGCAGATTGTCCAACTAGCAAAACTAAATGCGAATTTCTAGTGTCCTACATACAAAGATGTCTTTTTATCTTCAAACCGTGAACCTTTTTGCACTAAATCCACCTCGATTCATCAAGGATATAAGCCATAATAACATCACTCCAACTATATCCAATCATCACGGAATCGGAAAAACCGCTCCGGTGTGCTGGCGCAATGGTAGCGCGTAGTCCTCCTAAGACTAAGGCTCAGGGTTCGAGTCCCTGGTATACCGATTTGAGTTTATTTTTGAGGTTTGGGTTGAATATCGTGGGATACTTGGTGAGGTGTCTTTTTTTGCTGCTGGTTGGAAAAAGGGACAGGGTACCAGGCCACATATAAGCTATAATATTTACTATTCTTCTAAAGCACTAATAGGCAGGGTGAACTCTTATATTATGTCCACCTATGTAAGTACTAAGACCAAAGGTTAATGCATACCACTTGTATTTTCTTAGCATCGATGTCTTCCATATTCAGTTGCCTTCGGTTGCTGACTTTTGTAGAGCACGGTATTGGAAGCAGATATATGTGTAGTATGCTATGTAATTCCGTCTCTGTTTCTTCTATTCTCATTATCAGGTTCATAACCCAAGCACACAGCTGTTGCATAATCTCCATCGTGGCTTATCGACACCATCGCACTTGTGTCTTCTGCTTCTCCTTCGCCGCTCCGTATACGCGCGATTGGCGGCCCACTGCCCAGTACCTCTCCCTTCACAAGCCGTCTCTCAATCATAATATCATGAAACGTCAAATGACGGTGTGGGTGTGCTTTAATGGCAGCCTCCTTTACAGCGAATCTAAACACCATTCAAGTCAGTGATTACCGATGATAGACTTGAAACCCCGCACCTTCCTGCTATGAATGCAGCGCATTTCCACAGTTCAGGGTCCTTTGACGCGATGTATTCATGTGGCTGATGCTTTTTACTGGCTTTGCTTCTGGCACCTCGTGATGGAACCTTATGCGCTGCCGCCTGGTCGAGTACATTTAATCGGACGTCTTTCTTTGCCAGCTCTTCAGGGGCTAAAACCCTGTTTACAAAGCGTAGAGCCCGCGGACCTGACAATATATTGTAAATACGGGATATTTGGCAAATGTCGGTCCCGATATTGAAAGGAAAAGGAAAAGCCCTCAGAGGCTTCATGACCGTGTGTTGATGATGGTGGATGCCCAGCTGCGCAAGTGAAGATCTTGGAATTGAGCCGCTAGCGTCGGCAACTTATCGATTAAGCTCCACCACTACGTCAGTGAGCATTTACTTCAAGCATCACGTTGATCACCGGAATAAAACCTCCAACAGCCTCGTAACCATGTTTCGTATCGTATCAGAAGAAGCTCCAATTACTACCTAAGTTTGGGTAACATATAACCTGTAACAAACGCGCGCATGTTGCAGGATTTGACGATTCTTGATAAATCCTCAACGCCAGATTATCTCATTACTCCGCATTCGACAAGGTTTATCGAATCATGCATGCAGCAGGCCGGCTAAGAAATTCAAACAGTAGCCACAGGCAACTCGAGTTACAGAAATAGTGCGAGACTTGGACAAGCAAAGAAAGGTACCGCCGCTCCCCCGGCAATGTCTCTCCGTGACTTGATGTTTTTAATTCTCTGCGAGGAGAGGGGCACGCTCCTGGTCAGCAGGCGCACTGCGCCAGTTGATCTCTCGGCCAGTCGCGGCAGGGACAGCGACGACGACAGTAGCGATGAAAAGCAGAGCCATGATGATAAAGGCAAAGATCCACTGGAAGGCAATCACCTGGTGAAGGAACTGGGAAACTCCGATTGCAGCAGCAAAGACGCTAAGCGAGAAGCCCATAGTGTAATCCTGCATACGGTCAGCGAGTTACATAAGTTGACTGGAGTAATTTGACATACCTTGTAGATGGTGATGAAGAAAAGTCCATAAGCAAGAATGGACCAGATAAAGATGTTCCCAAAGATGCGAGCAACAAGGTGGTCAGGGTGGGGAACCATCAGAGCACCATTCCAGTAAATTGCGACAAAAGTCCAAGCCAAAGGCCCGGACACCACAGGCGTATGGATGAATCGGGGATACGTGTTGTGGCGGAAGTAGAGCGAGGAGAGGTTGATGAAGTTGAGAACGAGAATGACCTCAGCCCAGTGGAAGTGAGAGCGGACAAACAGCATGACAAAGGCGAAGTGGAAGAGGTTGTTGAAGATGAAGTGGCTTCCAACACTGGCAGCAGCGTGAACAATGTCCGAGTTGCTCGAGAATAGGTGGCCAATGTAACCAGCTTGGAGAATGAAGAGAACGATCCTGGACAAGTTATCAGTATGCGAACGCGCGCTAATGGGTTGGGAGATGCGCACCAGTAAATGGATGTGATGATCGGGTTCAGCGTAAAAGCAGTGCGATACATGTGGTTCTGCTCCCAGATCTTTCGATTTCTCGTGTGCCCATCATCGGGACGGTTGAGGGTGTAGTAGACAGTGACAACGAGGGACAAGATCCAGGTGACGAGAGTGAGGATCTTGTAGGTGAGGATCGCACTATTGGAGTGGGATTCCCTCTTACCAAAGGGATTGTCTATTGAATGGGTCAGTCGAGATGGACTGGAAGTGGAGGACGACAAGGTAGCTTACACTGTTGCCAGTTTGCCATGATGAAGGGCTGTAGAGCTGAGCTCGACTCGAGGTTGTTTGTAGTCGATTGAAAGAAGAGAAGTTCGCCGTCGAAACAAAGTTGTGTATGGTGTCGAAGAAGTGATAGGGGGAGAATATGGAGAGGGTGGAGGGGAGAAGAAGTATTTAAACACCGGGAATTATTTACACAGCGACCTACTGCTGCTACTGTAGGGGAGGTGTGGTTCACTCCTCTCAAGGTACGTTAGTTAATGTAGGTATGCGGGGAAGCAGGCCTAGGTAGGTTAAGGTACCTAGTAGGTAAGAGAGGTGAGGAGTAAACAACCACACTCTGGGATCGTCACACCACGAATGACACCAAACGATTTACGCTAATAAGACTTCCATCGACGTGCCTTGTTTCCACGCATAGTCAGGTATGCCGTCTTCTGTCAGAAATGGGAGGAATAACCAATAACCTCCAGAAGCAAGAACTCTGTACAACCCCAGCAAGGTACTCACTCAAAGTCAGGACACCGAAACTACAGAAAGGGCTACGTCAAAGGATCAGACCAACGGCGGCGGCGCATGACTTGCCTCTTCACAGCCTCTCAGGCTATATCGGATCTTGTCTTGCCCAGACGGTGCTTCTTTCATGCTGCCTTGTTAGACCATATGACCTCGCTTCAAGGGCGCTAAACCACGGATCAGCTATGAAAACTGCCGGGAATTAAATAGAGGTCGGGCTGTCATTGGTTTTGAGGCATTGAGACTGGCGACCATCACGATTGTGGACTGTATGGGTGTGGTAGCAATGGGGAATGACAGTGGTGCCAGATGAGGTACACGCTGCAACTGTCAACGTAGCTGTACGAGGCAGGCTTTGTGTCCGGTATTTTTTTTTTTTTTTTTTTTGAGCTGACGTACTTTTCCGTTATGATCTGGATGTCGTAATTCTTATGTATGTCTCTATAAAGGCTGCTACTGCTACCTTATTCGAACGTGGAAGACCTGGAACAAATCCAAGTTACAGAACAATTCAAGTGGATCTTTATCCCCGAAGACAAGGGAGGGTAGCTCTCTGCACAGACCCGCATTCGGTAAGTGCAAGGATGACAGACGTGCGTCTAGCTAATGATTGGTTGGTTAAATGATCCGCTCTAATGACGACAACTTGCTCCAAGCTCCTACCTCTCACGAGCGGCTCACAGCGGGACAATGTGCATTTTCACCCGCTACCATTGAACTTACCTACGGCTCCTAGGGGGCAGCAGAAAACTTCAGACTAAAGTCCTAAATGACAGAAAGGCTTAGATAGGTATTAGGGTATCTTAGGGTATCTGGTAGTTTAGGTGGTAGGTGGCAATCGACCTTGCATTATTTCGGGTTACAGTTACCCTTGCTCATCGAGATTCTTCCCACCAACAGGTACTTAGCAAACCACATATTTCCTGCTTTCAAGTGCCCGCATAAGGTACCAGGTACGTACCTTACCTATTGCCCGATGTCCTACAAGTGCAGTTAGATTACCTTATCCTCCAAATCTTTTTGTCAACAGCTACCTCTCTTTTCTTTAACCCCTTGCTTCTATCATATCAGCTGTGGTGTTCCTCTTATTCAAACAAGAGCTGTCCATTCTGCTTTGCTTTCGTTCCACTGGTTCATACAGAAGGAGGTAGGTAGTAGTATCACTCTCATGCATCTGCTTTGTTCCAATGCAAGTCTCACGGCACGTATCAAATCGTGTTTCAGTGCACCACCATCATCGCCAATTCATTCGAGCACCAACTGCAGCTTGCACCCATGTCTGCACCCTCGAGTTTGGGCGCGCAAATACGTTTGCTACCAAAGCTCTCTGATAGGTCGCTGTGAATGTTGAGGGAATCCGCACTGAATCCACGATCGTCCCAATGGCCAAGATAGAAATACCCCAGCCCTGGCCAAACAGTTGTTCCAGACACGTTAGACATGTCCATCACTGCAAAGTCTTGGTCAATTCGACAGGAGGATGGGCTGCTTTGTGGCATTCTTAGCAACGATGTCCCTGCAACACATGAGCTTTACAGCTCGGTAAAGTGATGCAGAATTAAACTCGACCAATGTGAGACACGACCAGTATATCAAACCATCTGCGTTCGCATCAACATTAAAGAATTCCTTGAATCCCCAAGTCTTCACAATAGGTTGTCAGTCCTCTGATTCAAGCCTTCAAGTGGTTCAAATCATGGCCAAACCTCCCTGGGTGACAAAAAGCCCTATCACCAGCATCTTTCCACTTCTCAAAGCTCGCTTCACGCCTTGCACGTCTCTTCTCAATTGGATCTGGGTGATAAGACGGCAAGTGCCAGTCCCTCGATGTGTCTTTGAAGTTATCTCCAAGGATATGGTTCTCGCTCCTGTAGCTGCTCCCTAGTTGTACAGCCACAGAATAATTCGTCCGGTCGTTGATGAGCCACTGATATGATTCCTCGCCGCTCGAAGGTTTGCGATTGCTCGTCCAAGACGATTGATGGCTATCCCGAGAATCCTGATGAGCCCAGGCAGATTCTTTCTTTTCTCGAATACCACAAGGACCAGAAATTTGGGGGTCTTGAATTGGTTCGTATACATTGGGTATTCGTGGGTATTTGCTAGGTTCCACCCACGAATTATAAAAATCGTCCGTCATGATGGGTTTGCGGTGGTATGGTGCTGACGTTGTTTGCATAGTATAACACAGCTGGAGACACAGCTGGAGACGAGGTGTTGGCCAATTCTGAGTTTGCGAGGGCACTCAAAAGTCTTAAAGGGTTGCGGGCTTCGGGATTGTCATGTCAATAAAAATCGGCAGTTCATGCAAATGAGAGCTCGCCCAAAGCTCACGCGCATTTTGCAACACCACGGCCAGATTGGGGCAATATCACGCCAATATTGACCAACTACAAGTCAGAATCAAGAACCACGTATTCGATTCCGTTATGATATGCCAGGGCAGGCCTCAAAAAGCGGCTGTTGGGTATTGGGTGCCGAGTTGGGTGCCGTTGGGCTACAGCACATCTTAGCACATCACCTCACGTGTGAGGTTTGGAATTTCCATCTTCCTTCGAGAAGAGAGTGAGAGAGGCCTAGTCGAGGCTGTGCTGCAGTATGCTTGTCATATGGGCCTTGCTTATTGAGAAAAGCCCCCGAGATCATCCGCCAAAGTTGGTTCGCCAGCTCAATGCATGCACAGCCATAACCATGACCAATCAGACAGGCATGTTGTGTTCCTGAAATTACAATCCGAGCAAATTACATACACTCAACTCACCCACTTGAGCCTGAAAATGATACGAAAGGCACCGGCATTCCACGCCTTTTATAAATGAGGCGCTCCCCAAGGCAATCTAGAATTACAGTCATATACTGCCAAGAGCCAGGAAGTGCAAAATGCTGCCCTTAAAAGCGACAGGCAGCCCTGTCACCATTTGCGGGCGATCCTCAATTCCACAAAACACTCAACCTCTTGACGTATGCTCGACTTCAATTTTCGAGACGGTTTCCTCGCAGAAGACGTGACAAGAATCATGGAGTTTAGAGAAAGGTCATTTTCACGGGGGACTGACGAGAGGCTACCCAGACCTACAACACGCATGAACGACGAGACTTGGGAAAGGTTCAAGCCTTTTCTATGCAATCTATACAAGAAGTATACCCTGAGTGTCGTTATGAATGTCATGGAGAAAAAGTTCAATATTGTTCAAAGGTATCTCACCTATCAAGTACAGTACCCAGTGTTTTGATCTTTGACTAATCCTTTCACCAAAAAGCAAACGACAATATGGCTATCGTTTCGAGAAATGGGGCATAAAGAAGTACAATGCAAATGAGAAAAAGACTCCTCATATTTCCCTATCACCTGGTGGCATAAATGACTCGATGGACTATGGTGATATTGGAGCCGAGTTCGACCGAGAAACTCACTCCTTCAACCAACACCCCCTGTCTGACCGCTCCGACCCAGACACTTTGATGGTTGCAGTCGGATCAGAAAACGTGGAGTATGGCGAGTCGCCAGATAATTACAAAGCCGCAAAGCTTGTCGTCCCATATCCATGGGCAACTGGGTCATCTGAAGAAGCGAACAAACTTGCTGCTGACTTTTGTGCCGCTATGCTCGATGACACAAACGCATTCGCATTATACTCGAATCTCTACGAGATCTTATCAAATAGCAGTCAGTCATTTTTTGAGACTCGGGAGTTTCTCGCCATCTCTTGTGCCCGTGTGGCCGGTAAACCAGATAATGCTCGTAGCGCCAGGGCAATTCTTGCAAGGGAATGGACCGAAACACCAACGACTCGAATCTCAGACTCTCCGTTCGTTCTGTCGATGCTCAAAGCATACGTGGGAAGCCACCAAGAAGATTCGGACAAGTCGGCATTTGTCAAACAAATCTGTCGTAATGTCGAGCAAGTGGTTGGCAGCGACGGATCACTTCGAGAGGTTTCACGCAAGTATTCGTCTATCGATCTCGTAGCCTTCTTTTTTCTCAATTATGCCCTCGAGATTTATGACGATTGTTTTGACGATTCCAACCCCCCGAATTTTATGACTGAGCATCTCTTGAATGAATTCATCACGACACAGCCTTTTATGAACGCTCTACGCCACGGGTGTCCATCCCCCCTAAGTCTCTGTCTTAGGTGGTGCGAGGAACAGCTCCGACTCAACCACCCCGTGGCTCTACAAGATGCCCCAGTACAGCCAAGTACTGATATGCGTTGTTGGTGGTACAATATTCGTGTCTTTTGCACTCTCTGGGGAGTAATGACGCATCTGGTAAGGGCGAATTGTGCCCCTGAATGGTATACTCAGTGCGAGTCGGCCTTTGGCATTCCTCCATCAGAACTACTCATAACACTATCATGGATGATTCGTGCTGAGTCAACTGCAACTGAAACTGATAGCGTCATCTCTGATGCTAAACTACTCACTCAGGCCGCTGATGGAGCAGATAAGTTACTTCAAGTCGACGAGTCGCAACTCTGGATAGACTTTCTCAACAAGTTTACTTGGATGAACGAACTGGTCAATCCGGGTGATGCTGAGAGGACTTTCGAAGCTATTGTGCAAGATGAGCTGCGCAAATATGTCTCCGAGGTGCTTCGAGTCCAGTTGCCACATCCAGCAGGGACCCAATCTACCAGTGTTGGCGAGGTGGACTTCTACAATTTTCCCCAGCACGGATTTGGTGATTTTGACATGAACTCCCAAATGGACTTCTATAGATAGTCTTCTTTTTATTTAGCTTAGAGTCTCTAGAATCCCCTTCCTTGCTTGACTTTGTTTCTTCTTCTTGGCTCCAGATTCAATTTACGATACAGAACATATTCCGTTTATTAGGTAGCCGTAAACGAATTCGGTGGTGTAAATAGTACAATCCAACAGAGTAAGACAGACAAACCCAGTCTATGTGATGCAGGGGTATAATCAGCAGTAATCTTTCAGTACCAGCAACTTCCTCATCCGCACGCCATGCTTGGTGCCACATCTAATGAAACAAATAGAAAAGTCAAAGGACCATTGCGCCCTTTGCAAGATAGACATAAATGGAGTAGCCATCATGTAGTCCTTCCCGTCAACATCCAGACCATATCTCATGTACTCTGGGGCATATTATTAGGTGTTCAAATCCTACACTTCAGTTACCAACTGCTCGCCTTCATCGAGTAGTTCTGTGACCTTGCGGACGTTCCCAATCAAACTTCGGCCAAGACCACCAAGGAGAAGTTTCTCGGCATTGGCAGGAAGGCCAAGGTAGGTAGGCGGCTCACGCTCGGGCAAGCGGTGAATCCAAGCATTGAAGTCCTGCAGGCTTGTACCGGAGGGCACAACAAGGCCGTCAACGAGTTTGTGGTCAACTTCGTAGGCGGCAGGAGTCAGGAATGATGTGACGAGTTGAGAGAGCAGTTTGAAGTCCCCTTCATCATCGATCTTGCCACCGTACGTCTCGGTCACCATGTAGCGGAGCATCTCCCAAGGAATGTTCTGAGGAGCAATATTGGTCCGGTTACCAGCCACGCCGTCAACCCAAGTATCAACGATAAAAGCAGAGCATTCATACTGTAATGTGTTAGCTGATAATAATACGATTGTGCTTGAACTCAGGGTTACTCACATCACTATCGTTAAACTCCCAGAATCCCTTCCAACCCAGATTGGGTGCGTATCGCAATCTCTCTTGCACCACTGCATGCAAGAAGGATAGAAGCAAGTAAAGACGAGTTCTCTCGACAGGGCTCTTGGTAGCTCGTGTGGACAGGGAAGACATAGAGTCCTTCATGTTGGCCCTGACACCAGCAGGTTGCTCGTACATCAGAACACGAGAAGCCCGGAGTAAGTTGACTGGGATCTTTGGGCTTGACTCCATGGACAGGAACAGACGGAAGTCTGAGTGAGGGTTGAGTGACCCCATACGCTTCTCCAGACTCTGCAGCCAGGTAGGAGCCAAGTGAACATTTTTTACCAAGACCCATGAGCCCGTTTGAGCGGCGTTACTGATTGCTTTGTCTGCACTAGCCAAACCTTCATTGGAACCCATGGCAATGTTTGTGCACTTGACGCGCATTCTCTCCACCAAGTTATCCACCTTGTAACTGGCATCGAAACCAGGGCTCGACACGAGAGAGATTGGCAGTGTAGCTGACACTTGAGTGACTGTTTCTTTGAGGTCTTCGACGATATCGAAGATGCCCGAGCCAAAAACTTGGTTGACGAAGCGTTCAGCAGCAGGAACAAAACGGTCCATCCTGAAAAGCTTTACGAGCAGGAGAGACAGGAGTGCTTGATCCATGAGCTCAGTTTTGTCATCCCAGATCTGTGGCACGGCGTTCTCGGCCAACTCCTCGGTAAAGAACTTGTCCCAATCCTCAGCAGAGACAGCGTCGAGCTTTTCCTTGAGAACGCCGATCTTCTTAGCCTGGGTGAAGGCTTGATCTCTCTGATCGGGATCTGAAGATAGGTCCTTACCTTCAACACGGTTATCGAGGATGATGTCGATCAAAGACTTGTCCATCTTGTAGGGCGAGGCCTGCGCGAGGAGCATCCCGAGAGTCACCCGATCCTTTTGGAGCAGACCCAGAGCGGTTCGCTTAAACGTATTAATAAAAAGATCCTTAACGATAACGTCGCGCCGAACGTTGTGGTCAGTCTGGCCAGCTAAATTTTTGTTGCCGTGGAGCACCGACTGGAAAATGTCCAGGAAGTACTGGAGCGAGAATTGGTAGAAGTGGTTGAGGTAATGCAGTTGTTCAAGAACAGCGAAGACGGCACTACAGGATCGTGCGACGATACTGTACTGTTGTGTAATCTCCTCGACTTCAGCCATGACACCTTCAGTGCTACTCATCTTGCCAGAGATTTCTGCAGCCTCAGTCTTGAGAGTCTCTAGAGTTTCAATTACGTTGTCATCATCGAGAATGTTGCCACGAGACTCGTTGAGGGCCTGAAGTAATCGTTTCTCCAGCTGTCGCAGATGGACCTTGAACTCACCCTGAAGCTTGATGAGGTTCGAACGTCGTTCATCAACATCAGGACGCTCAGACTTAAGTACATCATTAAGGGACTGTGTCTGTAGACTGCTCTGGGTGACAGTAAAGTTGACAAAGGTGGTTCGACTGCAAATATCAGGAGCGAAAGTAGCTGATGGGTCACGAGTAGACAGATAGATCTTGAAGGCAGGCGAAAAATCGATCTCCTGCTTGCCTAGTTGAATGAGGACACGACCACCTGTCTTCTGGTATTCCTTGTTGAGGACGTGGTTGAGAATGGGATCCAAATGCTCCGCATCCTGGATGAGGATGGGGTTTCCGAACCGCAGAGAACTCTCGAGTTGCTTGGTAAAGGTATCGTCCAAGAAGCTGGTCACTGTTAGGCGGCGATCCTTGCACTCTCTTTGTAGGAACTCTGTGACTCGTCCTGAGGGGTCAATGATGAGAGGATAACGGTTGAAACGCTTGAGAATAATTGCATTCTCTGTGCATAGGTCATCGACGGGAAGGGTGTTCTCTTGCCAGCCCAGACGTTCATCTGCAGTCGACAAATATTCCGTGACAGGGTTGGGTGATTTGTAGTGTATACCAGAGAGGTGAAGTTGGTGGAACCAATCATCCATCATCAACTTTCGGAAAGTTTGGTCATAGAGACCGCTGTAAGCCAAGAAAGCAGCAGCAACAAGGACATCTCCGACCAATGTGCTGATCTGGATCTCGAAAGACTTGCTGCCCTCTTCCCAGCGAACTCGTTCCGAAGACAAGCTATCGAGAAGCCTAACACTGCGATCGACCTTAAACTGGACCTTGGACATCTCAGCTTTGATGGATTGTGTCTCGCTAATCAGCGCAGCATATTCCGTCTTGTACCTATTGATGCTAGATTCCAGGTCTGCAATCTTGTTCTGTACAGCCTTGGCGTCAGCCTTGGTATTCAGAGCTTTCTCCTCCAGTTCCTCAACTTCGAGCTTGAGAGGGCCAACACGATCAAGAATGTCGAAGTAGTTGACTTGAGCGCTAACCCATTGAACAAGGGGTCCGCAAGCCTTCGAGGCACGGTTGACCTTCTCAAACGTAAATTCGGGATTGGACAGGAAATCGTTACGCATCTTGTTTCTTAGAGCCTTGGTCATCTGCCTGGCGTTGTCGAACATGAGAATGCTAGCGATGAAATCGTCCTTTCGTACGATACCCTGTACGGCCTTCCAGTCATTGATCCTGTGGCCAAGAAGCGTACACACAGCATCCATAGCAAGTCGCACACCTTGAGGTGGATTACCCATGGACCTGACTTCGGTCAAGTGTTGACGCTTGATGTTACTGACGCTAGCCTTTGCTTCCTCGACCGCAGGTTCCGCCTTAGCCAGATCCTCCAGCACAACCTTCTTCCGCGACGCAACCTCAACTTCTTGCTTATCCAAAGCAGCCTGAATCTCGAGCGATGCGGTCTTTTCTTGCTCCGCCAGTCGCTGATCAGCCACCATTCGCTGCAGCTTCTCATTGGCCTCGGCATCCTTTTGCTCCAGTTGTTTCTTCTTCTCTGCCAAGCTCACTCGAAGATCTCGAACCTTGTCGACAGTGTCTCTGAGCTTCTCAAGGCCAACGTTTAAGTGGCGCTGCTGTTCCTCGAGATCTTCCCGTTTCTCGTTATAGAGCTTGACGTATTGGGCAACGAAATCGAGGAAGTGACGAGGGGTCAGGAAAGTGACCTTGCCTTGTTGCTTGAACAGCTTCTCATTGTACCGCTGCAAAGAGTAATGAATGTAGACCATAGAATTGACAACTGTCTCACGATGAGATGGAGGTAGCTGCAGGCCACGGTAAGCCACAGGAACGGTGTCAGGGCATTCGAAGTTGCTTCGGTCCAGGTCAATAGATTGGGTGAGCTCATGGCCGACCTGGAACAGGGCTTGATCAGACCAGTCACCAAACCAATTGAGAACACAACGGTTGAACAGCGCGGGACTGGTAGCAGCCTTGGAAGAAAGGCCATCCTCGGGTGGGTTCATAGTGAATACGACATGTAGGTTCTTCACAATTTGCTGGGTAAACCACTTGTACAACTCCTCTGGAGAGTCAAGGTGCAGGTTTTGTCGCTGAGCACCCTCCTTGCATGCTGTCATAAGAGCAGCGTATTCGTCACCCTCGAAGAGACCAGGCACTTCAGCGTTGGCGAGGAGGGTGTTCATTCTTTCCAGGAATCCTGAATCCAAAACGTTTGACTCATCCATGATAAAGCAAATTTTCTCGCCCTTGCAGCCACAACGGCGAAGAACGTCTCGAAGATCATCATCGAAATCCTCGGCAGAATACTTGCCATGAACCTTGATCTGGAAGACTTTGAGGCCGTTCATCCAGGCCACGAAACGAGACAAGGTGGTTTTGCCACTACCACTCACACCGATTAAGATAAGATGACCCTGGGGCTGTCGGAAGACACGATCAATGCGTAGCACATGCTCCAAGACGTCATTGAACAGAATTAGAGGAACATCCACCTCCTCTTCGCAAAAAGTCTTCAATCTCGCCTTGACAAAATCTCTTAGCTGTTCACGGTCAACCGGAACGTAATTCTTGGACAACCAGTTAGAGAACAGAATAGGCCCTCCCAGAGCCTTCTCCTCGTCGATATTGGGGAAGTATTCAAGCGCAATGCGGCGCACGCTTTCGTCGGTCCACTGTCGCTCGTCTTCGGCGACCAGACGATCCTGAAACAGACGAAGAGCTTCGTGAGCCCAGATT